TGATTAATACACTCGTTGACACATCATCGTATCATATCATATTTTAGATTATTGGCTTTTATGAACAGAGAGAGAAAGAGGGGAAGATTCCGAGACTTATTTTAATCCATTTCGTATTTTAATTTTTTCAACAATGATAATTCTTGCTTCATCCTCATTTACATAATATCTCTCCCTCTCTTTCTTTCTCTATTATACTTGCTTGCTTTTTGACAGATGAAAGTTATCTGTAAATTATGAAAGTGAAATATATTTATTTCGTAAAGAAGTGCTGTCTGTTATTTGTATGTTTGATAATGTAAATTAATGGATTGAAAATAATTACTTTTTCTGAAATATTTCAAACAAAAAAAATGTTAAGATTGTAAATGTTAACGTTTAGATTTACAACGAAGATGATGTTATCATCAAATACTTGCAAAAAGCAACTTTATGCATACTTAACAAACCGGAAAGAATACTGAACAAACCGAAGAAGTGCTTTTTTTTAAAGGTTACAAGAAATTTCTGAACCGGTTTACATATCGGCGTTTCGTGAATGTTATCATTTACTTGTAATATACTAATAGATTTCTAAGTTTATCAATTAAAAAGAAATGATTTTATGATAACAATCACCGAATAGACCGAGTGAGAAACGGATCGGAACTTTCGGGAGGTGAATAATTTCATTCATATTGATTGAGTTATTTTATGAATATATCGATTATTCTAATGTTATCATTATAGTTTCTTTATATTGACAAAATTTACACTAACTGTTGAAAGTCATACAAAAAAAAAGCAGCCACACAAACGCGTATAAACTGAGGAAACTTTTTGAGAAGACAGAAATCAGGGGAATTCGATACGGCTAATTAGTCAATTAGAACAATCAGTCATCATATCCACTTTACAATTTATATATTTGGTAGATTGTTGATCGATCGGACAAGTCAACAGAGCGAATTTCTTGATAAATATAGCGTGAAATAATTAGATCTTAGATTAATTATCAGTTAACTTAAGTGAAAAAATTTTTCAAGAACTATTAGTGATGGCAGAATGAAGCAATGAGTGCAGTTGATTTTGATAACAATTGATCAGGTTTTGTCACGTGATTGGAAATTTTTGAAATTCTTTGTTTAAGCTCTTTAATGAAATATTTTGTTTCATAATCGCTCCATGACTAATCTTCCTTCCAACCTTCAAATTTTTAACTTAACACAAGTAAAAGTGTGTTTGTGTAAATTGTTGAGAGCACTTGGATTGCATTAAATTTTTAATAGCAAGATAAATTGCTTGCAGTCGTATTGATAATCCAATATTATTGTATTAATAAAATAAGCCAAGCGTTGAAATTTGTGTATATGTTTATTGGAATATTATTACTAAGAACAATTAATTCTAAATTCAAGATATTTTTTTAATTAAATTTAAAATATTTTCCTTTTCATCACAGATATTAATTATTAGTAATTTTCCAATAGTTATTAGTACTATTCAAATCGTAATAGTTTTGTAATATATTGAAAAGTTAGATGATTATGGGTTAATAATAGAAAATTATTGATAACTTTAGGTGAGCTTGCAGTTTATCATTTGTTTAGAGATTTATGCAACCGTAGAGTGATAGCAATAATTGAAAAGTAAGTTTAGAAATTTCATTTGTGATATGTCAATTTATGAGTTATCATTATCGGTGTAGTCATACTATTATCAGAGTATTGTTATTATTGGAATATTAATATCAGAATATCGTTATCGGAATATTATCAGAATAATCATTATTATCAGAATATTGTCATTGTACTCATCATTATCGGAATATTATTATCAGATACTCATACTAATTTTAACATTGTTATCATATTCGTAATTCATTTGCATTTTCACCATCATTTTATAAAATTAAATCATTGTAACAATCCTTCTAACATTGTCGCTGATTACATATGCACAGTAAAAAGGGAAGGCTTTTCATATTAATGCAAAATCAGGATAAAATATGTTGCATCATTTTATTTAACTAATTTGTTCATCTTCTCCGGTAAATTTATTTCCCCCTCAGGCTTTTCGTATTAATGCAAAACTAGAACTGAAATAGGTTGCATCATTTTAACTAATTTATTCATCTTCTCCGGTAAATTTATTTCCCCTTCAGGCTTTTCATATTAATGCAAAACTAGAACTGAAATAGGTTGCATCATTTTAACTATTTGTTCATCTTCTCCGGTAAATTTATTTCCTCTTTAGGCTTTGCATATCAGTGCAAAATTAGGATTAAAGTAGGTTGCATCATTTTATTTAACTAATTTATTCTATTTATTACCTCTTTACATCTACTTTGTCAAGAAAAAGTATATGAAAAATTTGAAATTAATACTATACCTGAATGTATTATAAAAGTATTCACTTCTATCTCATTTCTTTCTTATTTCCTTTTTCAATAAAAACTAAATACTACAGATAGATAGATAGATGATAATTGAATAGATGATAATAGACTTAGCGATTATAATTCTAACACCTGCGTGTATAAAATATATTTAACTTACATTCATTTACTTATTCTAAGATAGATCTCATCTTTCTTATCGTTGTAAAAAGAGAAGCTCTGATAAACATTTCTTCTTTACTTTAACCAATTAATTTTGAAATTTCCATTAGTGCCAGCACATTGTTGAAAAAGAAGTAAACAATTCTTATTTTTTGTTGAAAAAAAGGGAAATTATTTATTTGTTGTTTAAATATTTGGATTGAAAAGAAGTTAGAATTTAAGAAATGAAATTGAAAGGAAATTTTGAGAAGGAAAGTTAAAATATCGAAAATCGTTTTTCTTTTTTCAACGAATTACTTTTATTAAGAAAGAAGTTTCTTTTCCTTCTATTCTCAATATTGTATTCTATAAATGATATTTTAATTATTATTTAATTAACTATAAATTGATCTGCGAAATTTTGAAAATCATTAAAGTATCGATTTATTGATTTAATTCGTTTTGAAATATATTAATTATTTGTTCTCATAAAATTTGTTTTGAATATTTTTTAGCCATAAGCAACTATTTTAAATAATTGATAAAACAGTTTTTTTTTTCTTTCAATAATTGATTTAGAAGTTTACAGTAATTCAAGCTTCTTTCAAGAAATCTCGGTAGCATATAGTGATAGCATCATCGCGGAATATATTGCATTGAAAGATTGGATTAGCTTAACTCTTCTACAACTTCCGGGATGGCTTGACTCAGGAATATTTTTTATAGCAAAATTTTGTAATTGTGAAAATTTTTAATTAATAATTTATAGAGATGTGGTCTAATAATACTGTCACAGATCTAAGATATTTTAGTTTTCTCCTCCAAATTCTTCATACCAGTCTTAGGTTTCTATTAGGCGCTTTTTTATCCACTGAATTTTGCTTATTTTCAAAAAAAAGAATTTTTGAGTTTATTTCAAAATAAAATATTTTAATGCACTAAAATATCGGCCAAACTAAAATGTAAATTCTATTGTTTTTCCCGAAATCTTCACTTGCTGACAACAATTTACTACTAATTCAATATCAATTAAAAACGTTGTAATGCCATTTAGATCCTTAAAATTATTGAATAAACAAATGCAAATTTTGAAATTGTGTCTTTCCCACAAATTAGTTCTCGAAAATTTCTGAATGATCTGTTCTCCTGCAGTGAGGATTTTGTCATCGAACAGTTGTGAAAGCTTGAATTTTCAATGTTGGTGCATTAGGATTCGATTCTTATGTTATTCAAGAAGGAATGAAACCACTCGAATACCATTGTTGATATTTATGCATAGAGCTATTTGTAAGTTTCTTAGGATAACACACTGAATATTCTTTCTAATGATTTGGGACTTAAGTTAGATAGACAAATATGAGGCCTATATGTATGTATGCGGGATTAAAAATTTCCCATCTTCCAGTTTCATGTAAATAAATTTGTAAAAAATAAAATTCTTAAAACAGGAAAATTTCCTGATAGAATAAATTAAAAATAAAATTGCTATCAGAGGCGCAAATGTTGGAAAAAAAATGATTCATATCTTTTCATATAATTCATATCTTTCTTTCTTTTATTTTTTCAGGAAAGTAAATATCGCAATTAATTTCATCATTTCAGTTCGAAGATATAGTAAAATAGCTGAATAAATATCCATTAAATATTATTTGAAATGAAATGATACAAACAATTCATTGGAATTGTAAGCTACCGTAACCGGAAAATGGGCAATTATTTTTTTGTAGCCAGTAACCAAAGCCGCCAGATGCGCTAAGATAATAAAACGAAAACGGACACATTTTATCCAATGATAACATTCCAATGATTTTTTGAATTTATAATAGAGAGAAATTTTCTTCCTTACATTTCACATATGTTTCATATTGTATTTATCTTCTATTGGGTGACAATTGAACTCTCACATTAGAAATAAATTCTACTATTTTAGGGTTATATCAGGTCAATTATACTTGAAGTTTTCTTTCCATTAACTTTTTCATATGATATTGTAGCTTAGCTCTGTGATCGAAGACCTTACTATTGTAGCTTAGCTCTGCTGTGATCGTCCCGGAATTATCGTAGAAAATTAAGCGACTGCCATGCGAATATGAAATTTCCAGTCGATAATTCCCTTTACTGAAATTAATTCCAGATTGCCATCATATCATTGTCATTAATTTTTTTGTTAATTAAAAAACCAATTAAAATTTGCAGGAAAGACTAACTGAATTGAAATATTGAATGTTATGGAGTGAAAAGAGGAAGGGTGTAGGTCTGGGGTGCCAAGAAGAAGACTCGTATCGGAACGATCGATAATTTGTAGGAATGAGTCGTTTAATCATATTTGCCTTTACCATTTTCTGTTCTCATTTATTTATTCGACCGGAAAAAAAATTTCACATTTCTTTAACGAAAAATTGCTGAAAGTTGGATGATTGATTTGATATTTCTTGAAATTAATTCCATTAATGGAATATTAATTAGTTAGGATATTTTTAATATGTCTTTTTTGAAAGATATTTCCCAAAAGTTATGGGATCGAACTTTTTCACTAACCGGCTATGGTAATTCCGGTCTATTGGCTGGTTTGTTTTGAGGCATAGGTAATGGGTGGTCTGGAGCCAAGAGAAGAGGGTGGGGAAATTTCAGTTGTGAAATTTCAGTGAAATTCAATCTCTTTCCCTTTTAGTGCTTGGCGAGCTCTTCATACGAGAATGGGGCCAAACCATCGCTTTATTTTTCGCGTTTCATACTATACCCAATGATGCTTTTAAACTTTTAGCTTTTCTCTTCTTGATCACTGTTATTATTAATTATCATTTCAGACTGTTCACGAAAGCAATTTATCTAACGACGGAAGGACAGAAACAACAACAGACATCAGTTATTAAAGCAGCGGCAGCAACATCGTTAATATTTATCATTAATATTAGCAAGAAAGTCAAATGATTCAAGGTAAATATTGACTTGCACATTTCACTTGCAATTCACTGTAAAGATTCAGGAAATGAGAGTTTAAATGATTAAAATTCGCTGTTCTCGATAATGATTAACGTATGTTTTCAAAACGTTAAGGACATCGAAATGGTACTTTTTATTTAGAATGCAAATTTTGCGTTTTTGTTTTACTGGAACTTTATACGAATGGGTCTAATTGCCTATTAATATGAGAATATCCATACATAAAAGGATGATAGCTTTTCTTTCGAAATCCATAAAAATAATTACTGGCATTGTTTTATGTAAGAAACTATGAAATGTTTTCTAGTGAAAGCAAAGTAGATGTAATATTGTCTGCAAAAATTATTGGAAATCTATGTAGTGTGTTGGACATTTCAGATGCGGATTTGGTGCAATTGTTGCCGGCAGGCCATTCTGTCGGAAGTATTCGCACCCGTCATCCACTGATGTATATATTTTCCGGTGGGAATGAGGACGCTGCGTTCTTCTCAGTGAATGGTTTCTCGATACTTCTTGATGGAGGCGATCAAATGGATGTTCCATATTGGAATCTGATTCGTAATTATGATAAAAGTATTCTTCTGTCATTCTTTTTATTTACTTTTGTCTGATTATTAATTTTACAGCTATTTCTATAAACGAAAAGATAAATAGACTAAACATTGCAATTAATTATTTGAGTGACACAGTATTGCTAAGCTCATTTATGTGACTTTTTTTCTTATTTACTAATTTATTTTTTCAACTGCACATGAGTTTTACTTGTGTATTAAGATTTTTTTGCACAAAAAATTGTTTGTATCATGTTTCAATTTTATTCGCTGATAATCGTTGGATTTTGATGTGTCACCTCCTGCAATTGATTATAGAAGAGGAATATGGAAAGAATATTTCTGTTTGTTATCAAATTAATCGTTTTTTTAACTTCAGTATCGGCAGCATTGATTACTCGTATAAGTCCAAAATGTTTGCAAGGAATCTCAGCGATTTTAATGCGAAAATGTTTGCAAAAAGTATGTCGAACACCTAATTTACTAAATTAAATATTGATAGGTTAATGTCCGAACTTATTCGAACTTACGAAGCACTATGCCGAAGTAGGATAAGCGATAAAGATTGATAGATTTTACAAGGTCTGCAAATATTAATTAATAGTTGCGGTTTTATTGAAAGTACTATGGCATAAAATCAATTAAATTATATGAAGTATGAGGAAAAAGAGCAAATCTGCAAGTGTAAATGCCGTTGCATAATCTTAAAAGCTAGGGTTGGTTTCTAGTGTGAACAGTGGAACTATTCTCTGAGAGGAAACAAATACATATAAAACATAGAAAACACAAGCAAATATATGTGCTTATCTTGGGCAAAAGGAACATAGTTTTGTACATGAGATAGTTGGTAATAGAAAAAAAGAATAACTTCTGTTAATTTCAGTGTCATCCAAATTTTGGTTCTGTGATTTGTAATTTGCCACCCTCAAACGTATCAAATGGTGATAGTGAAGCTTCAAAAGTTTTGCGCGCAATGCATGAAGGTCTGCGTGCGGAAGGTTTGAAACCAATTGAGGCTTTTGCTAGTGCAAAGCTAGAAGCAATAACTTTGTATGAGGTTAGTTCCTTAATCGAATCCGTCTTCCTTTCATTGTTTTTTGAGATTTTCCATCCGTGCGTGCCCTATCGCCAAAACATTAGTTGATTTTAGGATGCAGGAACATTTACTGAATTTCAATAGTTTTTATCAGACTTGTTGTGAAACTAAATCATGAAATCGGAAAGTTAATAACTGAATTCTTTATGAGTTGTAATGAAAATTAGAATTTTTAAAAGTGCTCAGCTGTTTATCCAGTCTTTGTTATATTATTGGTTTGATTACAAATAATTCTATTTCTGTTGTTACATCCATATAGCTGGAAATTGCTCGTTTTTTAGGTGATAGGAGAGGGTGCATTGCGTATGATTGTATTGAATCCAGAACGTGGTTCGAAAGATCTGAATTCGCTTTTACATGCTCTAAAAACCGATGAAAATATCGAAAAATTTGCTGCTTTGACATCACTAGCACTTCTTTTGATTTGGCATCCATCAGATCATACATTACCTGTGTCACGGATTCTTATTACTGGTGAGTGCATTTTGAAAAGTCTTGAAGTCTTTGTTTTCGTTATTCGTTTTCTTTAGTCTTCTATTTGAGCGTGGGAAGTTTGTTGTCCTTCTCTATAAGTCAAGAATTTTTGATTAATTGCTAAAACAGCTCCTCAAACTAAAAACAATCTAGTATGGTTTCAGCAAACTTATTCGAAAGATAACTTAGGATTAAAACAATGTTAAGCCTGCTATTTGAGTTTTACAATGTTCCCTTTTCATACATTTAAGATTTATTTTTTTCATACTGTCCTTATTTAAGGCTCCTGTTCACTGGAGAAACTTTATGCATCGCTTGAAAAATTGAAAAACGAAGAGTACTTACGTTACCCGCAATTTACGCAATCTATGAAGGAGAAACCACCGGCGGCTCGTCCAGGGAGAATAATACGAAAACCTACTCCTAGTATGTATTTGTTGCAGTTTTAAAATACCACGTAAGGCAATTAAAACTACAAATGATGTCATTTATATTTCGATGAAGAACAATGTAATGCCAAGTCACATTTTTATTATGCATGTTTTAATGCGCTGGAAAGTTTGTTTTGCAGCACAGCGATGCAGCAAAAGTAGGACAGGAGGAGGGGGATGGAGAAAAAAGGGGGAAATAATTAGTGTAATTGCAAAAAAACTTCAAAAACATCGAAATGTGATTCGGGAGAGCTAATGAAGTTTTTACTGCTGATTACGAAGTGACCTGTTAAAATAAGGCTTTAATTACTGGAGATATTTGTCCTCTACTTTTCGCTTGTTCATTCTTTTAAATGTTACAGCAAAAAATCTTCCCAATGTGTCATTGTCACGTCCTTCATCACTGCAAGCAACAACTCCATCTGCACCTGCTGAACCGCTGAAAAAGGTACTTAGGTCAGTTTTATTTTATTTCTTTAGTCACAAGTTTTAATTCGATTCTGTCAAGAAGCAAACTGTTATCTCTTTATCCAGAAGTGTATTTCGCATCTTTAATTCAACTTTCGAAAATTTCCAAAGAATTCCCAACAAGATATTTCAGGCAGTCATTAGCAGGAGTTGCACCATCACGACTTCTTGCGAATGCGAAGAAACCAGTCACGGAACCAACAAAGGCATCTGCTGTGAGCAGTAATAAATCTCACGCCCCCGAAACTAAAGGGAGTAAGCCAGGAAAATCTAAGCCAAGTGATGCGAAGAAGAATACTACTTTCGAAGTCAAGTCAAAAGAAAATGATATGGGAAAAACGAAGGCATCCGATAAAGTTGGAATAAAAACTCCAATAGCAAAAGTAAGTTCACTGTGATCTCTTTATCACCTATATTTCCGTCCTATGCTTTCTAAAACATAGATGATGAGCTAAAGTACTGTTTGATTTACGTAAGTGTATGAAATAATCTCATGATTATGCAACACGTCAGGTAAATTTTGTTAGTTTTCTTTGATATTTAAGAATCTTTTGGTTCTGGACTGGTTGTTAAGGTTCACTATACCAAGACGCAAAATTTTTCAAGTTTTTTCTTTTCATTCAATAAATATCGCTCTTTGAGGTGAAAACCCAGACCTCAGATCAAGTTTCGACAAGCGAGGAGCCTGCTAAGATACTGCAAAACCCAGCAGCATCGATGGACTTACCATTTGTAAGTAACCCACAAAATGCAGCAAGTCCATCGGCAAGTCCATCACATCCCGAACACCCTTTTAAAGAGAAACGTTCTTTTGAAATGGAGGATGGAACTTCCATATCTCCCGGAAGTCCACAAACGCCTGAAAGTTCAGCTGACCAACCAGTTCTCGATGATAATGGCTTGCTAGATGGCATTGAAGAACCGATGAAACTACGTAAAATTAGTATGGATTTTTCGACCGAAGACAAGGATTTTGCTGGAAATTTCATGGGGAGGGAGGAGATGGTAAGCTTATCAAATTTAACAGTATGAACAGAGTATTATTTTGTAATGATTCTGAAACTTGACACAGTATTTTAAATATTTTGGGATTGGATTTAGAGGATGCCTGGAAAAGGATTTGATCTGTTAAATTCGGTACTACCAGCACAGGACACACCATTACTTGATTCTACACCAATGACGCCATCAGCACCATCCGTCGCAACAGCTGATGTGATCCACGATTCTTCAGATGCATCCGCTTTAAAAGATGGAATTGCGTATCATGATGATACTAACAAAGCCGTAGTTCATAATCAGGAGGTTATACACAACGAAGATTTACAAGGTATCTTCGTCTTAATGATTTTTTTGTTTTAGATCCGGCTTGTTTTTTAATCTCTTTGCAGCTACGCTTTTTATTTAAGAGTAATTTGCTTTTTTAGATCTGTTTAGTAGCGATGTTACTCCATTCATGGCTGGCCTAGTAACCGGAATTGTTGATGACTCTTCAACTCTCGAGGAGGTAATATTTATCTGAACACTCATTTATTCGAATTTAAAAAATCATCTAATAAAAGGCTAAATAAGTCTTTGAATTTAACAAAAAAAAACTTTTTTCGTGATTCGTGTTTCTTGTTTTGCTAATTTTTGTGAATCAAAAAAAAAATTAAAAAAAATTTTCTCTTGAGATTACGCAACATATTGAAAATTAATATATTAGTCTAGTGAACTACTTAATGCTGAAAGTGCGACAATAATTGAAAGTATATTATAGCAATGAAAAAAAAAAACTATGTTTTAGTTGTCGCCAGCGAATAACGATGAGTTTGAAATTTCGAAATTTTCGATAACACCCCCTTCATTAAATAAATTGAATAATGATACAATGGAACGTGTGCAGAACGACAAGCATGAAGAGGCTGAGAGAACGACTTTGCATGAGGACACTAAAAAGGTAAATGTTTGAATTATTTTATTAATTTTATTACAGTTTTCGCTCAGGATATCCGCTTATTGCATACATTATTTATGCTCGATTACATGGAATAGCTTTTCCTAATTATCTGAGCAAATGGATTTGTTTTTAAATGGATTACTCCTTTGTTATTTTAAAGAAAACTGCTAATTTTAATCTAGGAAAATTTAAACTTGTATTTACATTCGTTTTTCTTTAAAGAAAACTGCTAACTTTAATCTCAAAAACTTTGAATTTGTGTTTACATTCGTTTTTCTAAACACAGATATCATCCAGTATCAAGCGTGAAGCATTCTCGACTCGAAGAAGCGGTTCAGGTGATTCTGTTACTGTCCAGGTATGTTTATGAATTCTCCTTGTAACGCTCCCTGTATTTTTGGAAAAATTAGAAGATTAACACAAAGCAATATTACCTTTTCTTCCTGGTATATTATTACGTAACTGGTTTGTCGGTATAATCAAAGTGGATGAGGACTAAAAATCTAGTGAAGAGCTATCTTTTTGCTCCTTCAACACTATCTCTGAAATATTACGAAATTGGAGATGGATATAATCGCTATGTTTGTGGCAGTCGAAATTCGTTTAATAAAAAAAAGTTTTGTAATTGAACAGTTTTTAGCCGGATCCAGCCCTGGATGAGGTAATTGACACGCTAGCCGAGGCATCCGAAATGGTTGATAATACAAGAAAAGCAACATCTGAACTAGAACATCATATCCGAGGCTTAACGACACAAGTAATCAGTAATACTCAATCAGCAACGGCAGCGGCTTTAACAGGTTGTATGGAACAACTAACAGCTGCTAAGAATGTGTTTGATGGACAAGTCACCAGTATAATTCATGACATCAATGATAATGCTAATGCGCTTGCGGTATATTTTAACTTATAGTTTTCTAATATAGTCATTTATGCTTAGAAGATTATGCGAAACACAACCAAATTTCGGAATTTTGTTTTGAACTGATTAAACGGCTAGCTTTTATTGATTACATTAGAATATAATTTGCTTGAAATTAGAATTTAATTTGTTTGAACGTTCTGAGACGGAAGTACTTTCTTACTTCAAAAGTTGTCACTACCTTTTATCACTGTGACAGTATTTTACATTTTAGGACCAAAATGCCTATGAAGAAAAGCACGCAGAAGAAATGTACCTTCCACCGATGACGAGTACAGCTCGAGCACGTGTGAAACCAGTCGTTAATGGTGTACGAATCAAGCCCAAGCTATCCCAACCACTCTATTTTGATATTGTCTTCGTCCCACATCATGGTGCCCATCCTATGCTGAAAGATGAAGAAGCAGCAAAAGCATTCGTAACTAGTGTTCGATCTAGGTTTGATTTGTATTTGCAGCATTAACATCAGCAATTTGTTTTCTGCTAACTTGCCGAAAAATTAATCTTAGCCTAAAAGTTTGCTTTTATGAAGATTGCGGTTATGATTATAGCAGTGATTTAAGATATATATATATATATATAGATTTGCACAATTGGAAATATCGGTTAAAGTATCAAAATGCTTCTCTGATAACATTGCTGTTTTTGTTGCGTAGTGTTCATGTTTTTTAGGCGTTACGTACTGAGTGGAAGAGATTCAATACGAACATATTTTATCGACGGTCTTATTGCTGGTAAAGCAACGTGGAATAAACCAGGTTAGTTTAGTTACAAATAAAAGAAAGCATACATATGTAATCAGTCGTAACTACATTTGTTAAAAAATGAGTCAAAAATTAGGAAGAAATTACTCAATTAATGATTTATGGTTTTGCTTTTTCGAACTAGAAAGGAATAGAGAATATTAAAATAATTTTTAAAAAAGTTATTTTAATTTTGCTGTTATTTTTATGCCAATATTTGTAGAACTTGAGGTGGATGTACTCCCAACACATAATAGCGATGAACTAACATTGTATAGTCATGAAAAAGTAAGTTTCTACTTTTTTTCTATAGCAAACGGTACTGCAATTAGAAGAGTTTTTCTTTTGCCTCATCTAAACATCTGAGTGCTTCAATGTTACGAAGGTATCAACATCAGCGAAAAAATAGATGAAAGAATCCAGTGTAATAAAGTGCTGAAGCATGTGAGCAAAATGCAACGAAGTGAACTGTACGGATACGATGAAACGGAGTGAAATGTGTGGTAATATGAAGGGGAAGAAGGAGGGGTTAGACTAAATGTTTTGCGGCAAACATCCTAAGTTTTCTTCATGAGTTATCCTGAGTGTAATTGGGATATTGTTGCAGATTGAATAATCCAAGCGTTCTGGTGATTTTCAAGACCTTTTTTTAAATACTCTTTCTGTACTTCTGTGTTGATATCAGCTATTTCCTATCGGTCTACCATTCTGCTCTTCAAAAATGTTTTTTGATTTTTGTTTATCTGCTTCGTCCTTTCCAATTCTAGATTGTTTTTTAATTTCAACCAACCAATGCAGTTTTGCACATGCTCATTTTACAGTATCTTTTTGCTTTTTCAGGCGAATGAAATAGCCGAAGCGGGTATTAGTTTACGTTGCTCGGTTGATCGCTGTACACTGAGGCTATCCAGTGGTGCTACTGATGATGTTTGTTCCGCATTCAAATTCGAACTATGACTATCCTAGCCCGAATAAAGAATATCATCTGAGGCAGTGCAGTTTTTTTCACTTCATTAATCAGAATCTCGTACATCATTAGTCGATACACACAAAAAATCATTATTTTATTTAGTTACGCTACTTTGCTTAAGCAGACTTGAAGTTACGGAAATCGTAAAGGTGATTTTAGATTCCAATTTGAGAAATCTTGCTGAAAACGCTTTAGAAGGATTTTACTTCAACAGCTGCAATTTAAATTTATGAAATTCTAAAAGCTGTTTAAATTGGGATTTCGAATTCAGTAAGGAATAATCGTTTAATACAGAGTATCAAGGAATCAAGAATATGACCGTTTTTTAAAAAAAGGACAGTGCTATGTTTTTTGACTCGATGCAGTTCTTGTTTTTAACTTTCAGGCGGTTTTCATAATTGTCAAATAATGATAATTTATGTTGCTTTTTTATTGCTTCGAAAGCTTATAAACTTTTCAAGGATGTAATGTTATTTCTTTTAAATTAAAAGAAATGTTGAATTGTTGTCAGCTAAAAGTAGATGGGTAGGACTTTCAATTATACCTTTAGGCTACTGATGAAAAGTAAAGGGAACTTACTAACACCTAGCCCATATTAGATAGATTCTGAATAAAAATTAAAATGATCCTTTCATTCATCCTTGAAACTGTCATAGTATATTTGATTATACTTGTCAGTTTTGATTAGTATCATTATTTCGTTGTTTCCGGAGATCATCCTAAATTTATGTGCTTTTTATTACTGTTACATTTTGCTTTGTAGTATATAAAATTTATGACTTATTATATCCTCTCATTTTTTCCGCAAATATCTTTTTGTTGCTGCTTATGTCATTAATTTATCACTGTTTTGTAAAATTTAAAATGATGGATAAAGAGAGTCAAAATCTTGTTATTCAAGTTTTTCTTTGTCTCTAAAATAGAAAACCCTGCTCTTTTACGTATCTCCATGGTGTTTAACGCACTTTTAAAATTTTCCGAAGAACTGATATTGTCATACCTAAATATCGATCCAAGTTATTAACAATTCTGAAGCCTTCATCCCTGAGAAGTGAGATTGATTATTGCCATAAATAAATATTAAGGTGGGACCTAAATTCTGTAAATGGTTCACACTCAGGGTTTTGGGAAGTTTTTTGTCGAAGAGTGATGAAAGGGATATTCATTAATAATGTTACCATTAGGAAACTACAATTCATTATTCATCAATAGTTTTACTATCAGGAAACTACAATTCATTAAGTTTGAAAATAGTGGTGTCATTTTTCGATGCGAATCATGTTACAGTAATTTATGGTCTTTATTTTGCTCAAACACCGTTCGATTAAAATAATACGGCGATTGTGATGAGCGAGAACAGAATGAATGACATGTACAGGAAAGATGTGATGTAGAATCTCAGAATCTATGACCTATTTTGCGAGTTGGAGAAAGCAAAGTAGTTCCTCGAATAGCACTAAATCAGGTTTTTTTTTAAGAGAAAATGATATTTCCCTTATAAGATCTGTTAAAGAGGCTGGAAACAATCCTATTTCAAATGAGATTTTATGTGGGAGGTATATACAATTAGTTTTTAGAATTACGGAATTATAATTTAAAAACTTTAAATCAAGTTAGTTTTCCAGAAGGATAAGGAAATCGATTAACATTTATAATAGGTAGTAGGCTAGAGGATTTATGTAAATGAATTCAAAACAGGTTGGTCACTTTTACATTTGCCGTCGACATTCTGAAATGGCGGACAGCAGCTTGGTCGACTACAACTTGTTAATAGATCTCCAGGTCTGAAATCAAATTTTAGATAAACTTAAAAAAAAGCAAATTATTAGAAATAACTGCGGGTGGGACGACTTTTGTGGAAATAAAATAAACTGTTTTAATAACAACTTGCTAGGATTAATTAGAACTGCTTCAGTCAATATCCAATGCAATGAAATATTTGGTATATAGCAAGGATTGATTAATTCGTTATGATCATCAACTATAATTTTATATCGTAATCATTGATGTTTATGTTTTGTTTTTATCATCACTACTATCAGCTAACATTATCATCAACGAATAAAAAAAGTATACTTGGTGCATATGCTACCATCAGCACATATTCGATTTTTGAATTTAATCTGGTGGCATCTTGCATCAACAGGACATGCTTGTAGGTTACATGTTGAGAATTCTTGACCTTTACCGCTGAAATTAATTTTCCTCCATATTGTACGATGCAACATATCATGCCATTGATATATAAATATACAAACCAATGCTAAAGAACAGAAAATGAAACCTGCAATGGGCCGTTTTGCATGTCCGAATTCTAGACTGTATACCACAAGCACCACATGATCGTGAACATTGTGACCATTCGCCCCATTCGGACCAAATATTCTTTCCAGCTATCGTTGTACGAGGAGCTGAAATTTTTAAAAATTCATTTCTTTTTTTTAATTCGTAAAAAATTTTCTTAAAGAATTCTTCCCTCATTTTTGAATAATTCTGTATGATAAATTTGTGATTTATTTAAAACTTCAAAATGGAAAATTTACAAACCAACCGACTGTTAAGATACCATCAATTCTATCGATAAGTATATGATTTTCCAATGAGAAGCATTTATGTTAGTGAAATTGACACTATACAAATCGATCTTGTAATATTAAGCTGCGATAATTCAAATCAAATAAAGGAATTTATTATACCTATAGTTGTCGTTTTGAGTAATGCAGAGGTCGTTTGGGCTGGTTTCATAGCTAAAATATAGAAAAATGATGACAGATTTCAAATATCTTTGTCAAATTTAATTTCAAAAATATATACAAGTACGAACTTTTCCGAAATTTGAGCTTGAAACCGGTATCTTCTGCTATTGTTGCTCGAAATATGATGACAGCTTGATACATTTCCGAAATTAACGGATTCGCTGGTTTATCATAGCAGCATATCCTGAAATTTTATTCCTCTTTTTATTTACTTTCTTCCTTATCTATTTTTCATTTATTCATACTTATCGTTTCTCTTCTCTGTTTATTTATGTATCAAATAAAATTAATCCCTTCATCTTTAAATAAACAAGAATCATAATGGAAGATACTGCGATATACATCAATCATCGTATCAACAACATAATTAGCATTGAAACTATAATTAGTTAGCATTGAAACTGTAAATACTTTCTGTTGTTATATCAGATTTCATAATAATTATCGATACGACAGTGATATTTATATTTCAGGCTATTATATTCTAATAATTCTAAGATTACAACACTCTACATCCCTTTCTCATATGCCCATTATTTGAACTTCTTTTGATTATAATTGGTGCCAATTCTTTTGAAGAAGCAAGAAAATATTGATTGGACAATCATGAATATGTGATATCAAGAAATGAAATGATACGATACAAAAAACATGCTTAAAAAGCATGCTAAGGATATACAAATAGCATGTAATGTTCATGCTTAGAAAACGTGGTAATACTATCAAATTATATACTTTACCTTTCATTTATGAGAATTGTGATGAGTTAGCAAAATTAAATTTTGTATTCTTTTATCAAATTCTAAACATTTTAAATGCTGGCTTGATTTCATATCAAAATACTAATGTTATAAGTAAGCATCTGAACTTTGCGGTTATGCATATATAAAACTAAGTTTAAAATCTATGTATCGGTAAGTGGATATGAATTCAATACGATGTTGGATTCAAAAAAGATTGAAAATATCCTATATCTGCTGATTTTGAAAGTTTAAAAATTAGCAGAAAAAACGTTTACAACAATATAAAAGATGAATGGGAGATATTATTTACCTGTAACCGGTATTAGCCATGTCATTGCCAATTTTCAATTCAATATAATCAACACAAGTAGTGGAGCAAAATATGCCAAAATCATCTTCGAAACTAATTTCAATTCTTTCTTCTAAAACTAATAAGATAAAATCAGTTTACAAAAATCAAAAAAAGAACAAATATAATTTTAGAAGTCATTTTTCGTGTTGAATCCTTAGAAATTGGGAAAATTCGCAAACCTTCATTAGTTTTAATAAGCCAATTGCATGTGATATTCGTTGGATATCCATCGGGATATCCTGGTGATTCAATCTGCTTCCAATCATTTCCAGCTTTCAACGTTCCGCCACAGTTGCTATTCGCTGAAGCATTCTGCTAAAGCATTTTGGTGAAATAAGCAAGACGAAGCGTAAAAACTAATTTTATTAATCTATCTACTGATGATAGAAATAAATTTTTCCACTTCAGAAGATGTCTAAATCTATAGATATAAAAAGCATAAGTAAGACTTTCAAATCAAAATCAACTGATAACTTTATGATTGGACGATTGGTTACTCTTTATTTGTTGTTAAAAAATGATTAAATTTACATTCGCTAGCATCATGCATTTCACACTTTGCACCACCAAAACCGCTCGGACAAAAGCAACTTTTACAATCACTGGGATTCAGATAACCACCATTTCTGCATTCATTTTTTTCTTTACAGTAGCCTAGGTAAATGAAGTAAGTTAAATGACTTTGAATTTAAATCTGAATCATTCACAGGAATCTGCATATAGCTTGAATCTGATTCAAATTTCAAAGCGAAGAATAAATCGAAGTTACTTTTGCAATAAGCCTCATTGATCAATTTAATGTCGTAGAAGGACAATGAATCTCGTTGACCGATTGTCATCTGATAGAATGGGTCCCTACAATGAGCCTTATTTCAAATAATTCCAGAAAGCTGGGATTATTTGTTAAATTAATGAAATTAGAAATTAATAAAAACCTCGTTAGAAGTGTCTTGCTTTTCTGATCTACGCTAAATGCTGTTGAACCATAATGCATGATGGAACCGAGATCGTATGGCACATCAAAAGTTGTAATTTCATTTTCACTACGTTTCAAAAATTCGCTAATATAGGATGGAATTATATAATCCTTCACTACCGTAATATATTTTTCCGCATCAGGCCTGGATTGCTCGTGCCATAAACCTAATGTATGGCCAAGTTCGTGGACTATGGTACCTATCTAAAATGCAATAAATTTCAGCTAAAATTTCGATTTGACAAGAATAGCTTTATTCCTATTAATAAAAGTAAATGTATTTCCAAAACTTTTTGAAAAATATTTGATCGTTTTATTGATACTTAAAATAATTCGGAATATTCATTGAAGGATAAAAGATGGTAAGATGACCTAAATGATATCTTACCCTTTCACATCCCTTACCAATGGATATTCCTTGCCTACCTCCAAAACGACCGATCATCGAATAACATCTGCAATAAATCTTACATTATCGACAATATTGCTGAAATTTCATCTTTACATAAATAATTTCTCTTTGTATTAATTGAAGATGAAAAGTGATGATGATTATTTCAGATTATAAGTAGGCTTACCCGTCACCTCCAAAAAATTCGAGATAATCACCGCTAGCTTCCTGATCATTCTCGAATGTAATACATGTTTTACTTTGCCATATTCCCAGAGCTTTTAGAATTTGGCTGATTTGTAGAATATCTTAAATGATAAACTAATTTAAATATAATTAATATATTGTTGAAAAAAAGAAGAAAGGAAGCAAGTTTTTCTTCAATAAATTTTTAATTAAATTCATTAACTAACCAAGTGATTCATCAAATCGATATTTTATAGGAAACTGTAACCATTTAGCCTCAGGATCGCTACTAAAACGTTTCTCTTTTTGAAACGCTCCACGAAACAAATACAAGGGCGCATCATGCGCTATACGTTGTTTCCCTTTTTTATTTGTACTATTTTTACTGACCAATGAGTCCAGTATGGTCATTGCTTGACTTGTTGAAAGGAATATATCACCTATAAGCAAAATGATGTAATAAAAAATTTTTTCATTCAAATATATTGTATTTAAAATAGTAATTGAAAATTGGTAAATTAATTTTAATCCTAAATTTTAGGCTATCAAAAATATTAACCTTCAAAGAGATATGGTGTTAATTTACTAGTTGTTTTTGGTTGTTCCGTACTAATTGAAACATCTTTCTGGCTATCAACAGCGCTCTGTAACACAACTTAATATGAAAATGTCAAATATATAATTAACATTATCTATGATTTTAAAATTCATCTGAAATATATTCTAAAATTTCTACACGTTTTGTTTTCTTCTTTTAATTATGAGATTTGATTTCAAATTTAACTATTAATTCTTAACTGCAACCAATACTAATGCAATATCTAAAATCGCACGGACTACAATAATCAAACTTACATCACGACTAAATACACGATTTCCATAGGCCTGGCTATGTGCAATTTCCTTCATTTGTAGCAACAATGAGCTAACAACATTGATATGCTTATCATCGTAAGTAAAATGCTTCCGTAATTCCTACAATATTTCTTCTATTTGTCAAAATTTTTGTAATAGAAAGGAAAAAAGGGCAGAGGAAACTCTCTTATCATTTATCATCTTTTTTTCAAGTATTGACATTTTTTATATCCTTTTTATCTTTCAGCAATGTGTTCAATTTTCAACATTTTATCAATATGTTTCAACTTACCGCAGATTAAAATCTATAAGAGCCTGAATAGAATTTATAAAGATATGATCATAAAGATCAGCATATAATATAAAAAAAGTAAAGGTGAAAATTTAAGGTAAGATACGAGCTATGTAATAGTTTTTGTTATTCAGTTATGGTGCAATAATGTAAACAAAATTCTATTTCAATAGTTGAAGAAACGTAAGATTAAGTTAGATTAAGTTAAATAGATTAAGTCATTTTATCCTTCAATAATGTTTTTGATATTCTACCAACACAATTCAGCTGGTTCAATTTCTAATTCCAATTCTTATAACTGACTGTAAGTAAAATTATTTCTTTTTGGCATACTTGAGATCGTCATCCTAAACCACTTTGGTCAATCCTATTATCGAAGAAATAAAAAGAAATCGTAAATAAGAAATTCATAAATAGGAGATTTGATTGCATAGAACAGAACTTATCCAAACTATTTATTAGTAAATTATCTATAATCTCCAGAAAAATATTGCAAACATTGCGATATGCAAAAAAAGCAATAGTTTGAAATGAAAAGTTAAATGAATTTATTTTGAAATATTTTTAAAATTTTCAATCATATCAGAAGGATTGTAGAAAGAGGAATCATGTCATGTACATAGTAGTAAAATACTAATTGAAGAGATTGTGAAATCTTTAAGGTAGAAATTAATTCGAATTAATTGCTATAAGATTTCTAACCTGTTTAAAACCTGAAAGTAAGGCAAAAGAGATTTCAATTTATCCAATAATGATAAGAAGGATTAAGGAAAAACTTCTCCTATGATATTTCATTTGTTTTTCTTTTTCGAAATTGAAGTTTCACTCTTTGTGCCATAATATTACAGTAATAAAAGGATGAAATGGCTTACCTGTTTAACACCTTCAGCCTTGATAATATCATAATTTGTTATAAAAAACACTATAATTTGTAATGTAAAATGGAAGTAGTTTCCGGAGAAAATTCTGTCGAATGCCATTTTGCCTATGACATGAATTGATGTCAAATTATACAAAACGAAAGCAAAATTTGTCCGTTGGCAAAAAAAAGGATAGGAAGGATGATAAGATATGGATGGATATGAGAAGAAATGGTGAAATTTTTTATTTCTTTCTTTTCTTTTGCTCTGCCATCGATGCGGATCGAATTTGACAATGAAGTTCATTCATGTGACAGACGAATTAAATATTTGACAGATGAAAAAAATTCCTGCGGGGAAACTATCTTTTTGATTGAAAATGTTATTTCAAGAACAATACTCTAAGACTATGAGATCAGTATAAAGTTTTTCTGTGTGTTAAGATTTAGATATATGATATTTAAATATGAAGCGATTCTCGATTGACCATTTCTCATAGATCATCATCAATGGATCAACAGGTGCATTGAAGGCTCAAAAATTAGGTCTTTTAAAATGTGTTTGGTTAGTATTTGGAATTAAGTGTACAATTACGACGGAAAAGTAAATACAATAAAATCGGATGTATTTTTGATCGAACCGACAGAACAGCTCAGTAATTCAGAAAAAAACGAAATTCATCAAATGAATATCATGTATCGGTTCTGAATTAAGATATTTTTCAAGTAAACTCGAATTTGAAAAATACTTGCAACTTATCATAAAAATTTATTATGATAAAAGTTCGCAGTTTATCACGAAATTGATTTTTTAAATCGATTTTTCATTCATTTAATGACTCTGACCACTTTATCCTCATAAATGAAATGCTATACTATACTATAATTGAAATGCGAGAACACTATATTCTTCACATTTGTGAGTAGGATAGAAAATATAAAATCAAAATTACTATAGCAAGTAATAAATGATTTGATACTGTGGAATTCCAATAATCCAGCTTGACAACTCATAATAACATCATAACTCAGAACTTCAATTATGTCATTATCGACAAACATGCAAACTAGAAGTTCCTTTGTGTTTAGATAATTGCGAAGTTTTACTATCATTCATAGTCTTACTATCATCAAAGGAATACGATGTACATTAAAAATGAGATTAGCAAAAAATGTGTTAAGTTTAGAGCCGAACAAGCCAGAGCTTCTAGATCGCGCTCGTAGATCAGTACGTTATCGATCATATGCATAAAACCATTGATTCCAGCTTTTTCACCGCCTGGAATTATGCGTGCAACACGGTTACCACGAGGCCAATAAAGTTCGAAAACTGGAAAAAATGATTTTCTGAACTTTAATACAATTTTTTTACATTTAAAGAATAATAATTTTTAAACTATCTCTGATGGCCTAATTCGAAGTAGTAATATATTGATAAAAACTCATTATGTGAAGCCTAAGATTTATCTTCGAAGTGTTTTTTCATTTTATAAAAGCCACCACAATATCCCTTTAGACTACTCAAATTGTTTTTTCTGAGTAATTAGTCAGACGAACAACGTCCTCTTCGGCGTATCACCACTTTTTCATCGTTCATCATTACATAAGTTCGCTCCCTTAGATCAGTGTACATAAGTGCAAGGCCTTGAATAATATGCCGCTTAAAGACGTACTGCAATGCTAACCAATGTTTACCATCTGTCATTTTGTATTTCTGTGAAGTTGATACCTGCAGAAATTAACTTTTTTGTAGTAGAATGATGGAAGTGTGATAAAAAAAAGAAATAAATGAGCAAGAATATAGGCATAGAAATAAATTGGAATGCACAAAAAAACAAAAGTTAGTGCAAAAAGAAACACGCTATGAACAATACCTTATCCCAAGCTTCATTGGTTGGCACGAAAAATGTGAAATTTTGTTGGGGTGTTAGAACTTGCCACGGATCCAAGGAATATCGCAATTGCAGATTTTGAAGCATTGAATAAGATATCCTAAAAAGACAGCAGATTTTTTTTCTTTACAAGTACGAATAATCATGACTTGCACTTACTGAAGCCTGGAGTCATTTTGCATAACTTCATATAATGTTTGGTATGGTACTCCAAGTACACGATCGATATAATTCACGATACCGTTCACGGCTGCGACATTATCCATCATAATTGCTGCTCGCACACCACCGCCAATAACATAGTAAGCTGGAAATACAACTGATTTGCGGAGTAAGCAATAAATGGAAAAAATTATTAGTGAATATTATGCTTATTTGCAGAACAGATATACAAATCACTTACTGATATTATTTCTTGGCCATTCACCTCGGATAAAATATAGCTGATGTATGTTATCGACTGTGTTCACAACCGTTTCATTAGTGATTTCATTACTAGTCAACTCCTTATTAGGAACTATATGAAGTTTAAGGACCTGTAATTAGAAATTTTCGGCAGAATTTCAATTGAAATTATGAAATATAAGAAAACAGTAAAGGCATTTTGGAATTTAAAACAGTATCATAACAAGAGCATAAACATCGCTTGATACAATTCGTATTGAAGGGATGAAAAAACTTAAAGATACTTGAAGTGAAACCTTTTCAAGCCAGATGCGATCTCTCAGAAGTCTTCTTTCAATATATTCAGGGATTCGTTCAAATGCTTCATTGTACGGCGCAAAAAATGTCACCATACCACCAGTTGCAGAAAAATAATTGCGAACTATTTGTCCAATCATACTTATATAACGAATCAAAGTTGTGCAACGATTGTTATCCATGATGAGCTGAAGACAAAACTATTTTCGGTCGCAAAAATTCAGAAAATTCGAAGTTTTTTTTTTGACATAATTAAACTGTTCCGATTCAAATAATCGGTACCAGTTTTCATTATCAAACCTATGAAATTTTAAAAATAATGTCCTGTAATTCTTGGTTTGCTCATTGGTAAGTTTATGATTGGAAGTGAGAGGACAGAAAGATGGACAATAGTTCGACAATGAATATTTCGAAACTAATTCAGCATTAATTAGGAAACTTAGGAAAAGTGTTCTTAACTTTTGAGTAGAAACAAAAGAATTCCAAGCATTTGCTCATTTCGGTGAAATACTAATTCTTTCACATGATTTGGAAATGTTTCGAAATATTTTCATAATTAAAACATCTGCAACTGAAACAATCAGTATAGTATTTGAATAACAAATATTCGAAGCTGTTTTCAAACATTTAATTTAGGCACATAAAAGCTATGCTATTTTTTATTAATTGATCTGCTAATTTCGACACCTGAAACCCCGATGAATTAATCTAATCTAATATTTCAAAAAAGAAAATTCTATTTTCAATTCCACGACTCTTTTTTGCATTCAATGTTCTTGATATTTATTTTTTGATTTTTGAAATAGAAATGAATGGAACGAAAAGAACTTCAAAAGACGGTAGTATTCACAATTTCATAGAAGTTCTGTCTAATCCATTTTCTGCAAGAAAAACCCGTGCCCTCTATTGATGTATTTATGTTTTGAATTTTGTTTATATTCAGTTACTGATATGATGAAACGCCTTGCAACGCTGCTTACAACAAATTACTATTTTTCAGAGCGGTGCAGAACGTCAAATTATGAACTCTATAAAATTGATATTTCACAAAATTATGTTTTCATTTAGTTTAACTTCCATTTAAATTATAACTTATGAAACAATTTATTTGACATTTGAAATATAATAGAAAAGAAAGTTAGACCTGGTCGATAGTATTGGTAACAATGCCAAGAACATTATCAACGATATGGACTACGCCATTTTGAACTGGAATATTTGGTACCAGAATTTTAGCCCAAACTGCACCACGACGAAATTGTCCATACCGTTCGTGTACTTCAGAGACCGCGTAAACTATTATGTAAATGAAATAAATTAAAATAAACTAAATAAAAATTTTATTGCATTGAATTTACCCAGTGACTTTGTTAGATGAGTGTCACCGAAAATTGTCTTTTGCAGGATGTTTTAATTATCATGATCAATAACAAGTATATGTCGGAAAACGTTGTGAATGCTCAAAAATAGATAAAAAATAGATAAATGACAATTTTGAAAATAATATTTATTTCCTGAGAATACTGAAGTTCCTCAGTTATAAAATATATTTTGTGTTACTTACGATCCCATCGTCCGGTTCGATGATCGGTAATATTCCGCATGCATAATCTTAAATCATAATTATCCTCAATAACATTAGCAGAAAAACGTAGCGATGGATAGTAGTGTATACCCCGATCATAAAGCCATGGATAAGTAAAGAGTACCCTGTTTATACCTGTTACATGAGCCAGTAATACTTCACGGTCTAAACGATTGCGATCTATTACCTGAAAATGTTTGAAACTTTCAAAATAGCAAGAGAATCTGAAAACGAATATTATTAATCAGTTTTATTACAAAGATCGCTTCAAGAAACTAAAAAATGAACAAATTATAATGACAAAGTGTTTAAATTTTAAGTATTTCTATATTTCTTGTTATTTTCCTAGAAAAGAATATCTCCCTTTGTATTTGAAATGAATTTCAAATAATTAGTTGTATAATGCAGTAATCTGCAAAAGGTACACAGCGCTTATAAATAAATCTGTAATTTGATTCTTAATTCAAAAAGTGCTGCTATGTACCTTAAAAAATGCTTGATTTGTAGGTAAAAAGAAAGTATGAAAGCCATTCCATGCCGAACTGCCGAAAATTGCCAACGCAATATCCGGCACGCGATCGAGCACATCCCTCAACTCACTGAAACAAGTTATAAATATTTCCATTTTTAAAGTAGAGAAAATAAATACATGTATTTTCAGAATCTCTTGAGTGTTTCTTATGATAAAATTAATTTCCATTCAAATGTGCTACCTGAGGTCATGATTATTATAAGGCCGATCAAAGAAAGACATCTTTTCTTTATCTCTTATAAACGAAAGTGCGGTTCCCGGATATGGTCGATGTCCAATTGGTGTACAGATTTTAAACAGATATTGCTGACCACTGATGATACCCCATTCATTGCTAGCATGATTGCAGAGCATCCCATTATTTGCAAAGTAGGACTAAAATGAAAGCGACAAGTTGCTTAAAGTAAATGAGGAGTGCAATTTAGTAAGTAAACGACTAATTAAGCAGGAAATAATTGATTACTTATTTATTGACATACAAATTAATAAGTAAATAAGTAATGAAAATTGATAGAGCTCATTTAGAGCTAAAGATTACAACTATATTTAAATAATTTTAATTGCAAGACATACATAATTTCCGGGATTATTTACAAACTGTGTTATGTACATGTACCCGCTACTGACCGTACTTCGGATAAGTGTTTGTTTATCCCATTTTCGGTTCTCACCAAGTTCATAAACTTGTGTATCCACTAGAATCGAAAAATTATTTGGAAATCAGGAATGAGTGCAAAATAATTTCATGAATGGGTGCAGAATGTTTTCAGTCTCTGTATCGAACTATGCCATAGTTCGAGACAATTTAAGTTTAATTAAATTCAAATTAGAGGAATGAAACAAACAATATTAATTTAAACAAATTCCATTTTTACTATCAAACTAACCTATATGAGCAAGGACTTCCTTTTGGCTTAAAGCACGAATATCCGGATTGTAGGTAAAGACATCATTAACCGGGGCAAAAACAGTGATAGGCGCATTTGAATCTTTCATGTAAGCTAGTGGAACTGTGTATCGAGCGCATAAAGTACGCCACTGCAAAATAGAAAGTGCAAATAATGAGCAAATTTTTAATTATAAGTTAAAAACAAATTTTTAAATTCTAACAGACAATGAAATGCGCTTCGTCTACATTCATCGCCTGGCCTTGGAATAGTGTTAAAATGATAATATGATGCCCGTTTTAAGATGAAAAGCTCTAAAACCTGTTGCAAGTTGCTCATTCGTTCTGTTTCGGTCCATAAATCTGCTTTCCGTAGAGGAATAACCGTGAAAATGATAACAATGATAAAATGGAAACTTCCACAAGGCTGATAAACATGCATTAAAAAGTTTTTTTTCTACATACGAACGATCCCGAAATTTTGAGTACTGCACGAAATAGCAATTATAATCTGAAATAATTTTACATACCGAACTTGAACATGTCTTTCCGATTTAAATAATAATATATATAAAAGATTTTGTGATAAGATTACATCGTAACTAAAATTCAGGCAATCTATCTGTCTAGTATGAACGGAAGAATGGACGTCATTGAATCTTCCTAAAGCAGGCATGATCCCACGGTAATTCCTCATACCATGAATAAACCAATGTTTGATGATCTACAAAGCACAGTGAGAGTACACCCACCTGTATATGATGTTTCTTACTGACAGCCTCGGCCCTCTTCATAATGCCAAATGTAAACATTGACCACCTCACAACCAGGCAACAGACATAACTGAGAAATGTTAAAGAGTGCGTCCCATCCTATGGGAAGCTACCGGAGAAATGCCCTGCTTACATATACCATCTTACACTACAATATTCTGGCTGGAAGGAGTAAAATGCATGTTGTGATTAGTCATCACCTGGTTGTGAAGGTGAAGAGAACAAGAATGACCACCTGTAACAGTCCATTGGCTATCAGAGTAATAATGATTATTTCTGCAGAATGGACATCATTATAAACTGGCAATCGTTTGTGTACCGAAACTGATTCGAAGATACATCCCCGAATGGAATATATCGTTATGGAATATATCGGAAAATAAATATAAGATGTTGGCTTAGCTCTTTGAAAGCTTGGCTTATTACCAATCAATTTTTAATGATATCTGTGATCAGTTTAGCTTGATCATGGGAAAATATGCCTCTATTGATTCATATTTTCAGAAGTGTCGATGGTACTTCTCAGGAGTGTATCAACATAATGAGAAATATTATATAAAGTCAACTCAATCAGCTATTCAGTTAATTGAAGTTACTTTGATGGTAACTTAATGAATAGAAAGGAAGTATAGCTATTAGTTGACATGTCCTTGTACCGTTCAATATCACATCCAATTTTCCTTTCTCGTTCTTTTCTAGCGCGGGACTCGCCTATTGCATTTCGTCCAAATTCTATCTCAGTCGTGGTTTGAGATTTTCCGAGAGCAGGCGTGTTTACGGCTGAAGGAAGATGGACAAGTTGTTTGTTGGGATTGGTGGGGATGGGAGATTGTTCTATATCGTTGGCTCTATTGGAATTGTTACTAAGTTATTTCATTCATTTCAGGCAAAGATTTGTGTTTGCGAGTACCGTTTATTTTTTTGTTCATCGCGGAGGCATTCCCTAGAAACGCAGTGCTCACATTGGGTGACAGTTAGATTTCTGTTGTACATTTGTTTGTTTTTCGGCGGTTAACAGATGTCACTGTCTCCATAACTAATACGTCGTCACACTTTTTTGTTTAATTCAAATTTCGAGTATTAATTGTGTGTTCATCTTTTGCAGGCTGTTATTAGCCGCAACATGAATAGAAACTTACTGAATTTGGCTCGAGCGTCTGCACGCTATTATTGCTTAAAGCCACCAGGCCGCAAGAATTGGCCGCGTCCGATGATGTTGGGGCCACAAACACCGATGCATCCAAAATTTCCGGGATGGTCACTTTATGTTAGTTTAGCAATGTTTTATTCATTTGAGTTTTTTAGTACGATATGTTTCTATTAAGTCTTGCGTTAAGGACACGTGATTACATGTGGACTTTGAAAAATTAGGTATTCACCTTCTAATAGAACTATCGATTTCAGATCATTCCTAGACCTTATTTTACCTCCATATTCATTCTAAAAATATAGGTAGTTCTGAGCTTATATGAATTGATCTTCCCCAAGGATAATGGCTATTTCGAGAAAATCTGTTCTTTTTCATTTTAATCATTTTAGATTTACTGGAATTATTTCTTTAGTTGGAAAAGTAAGTCTTCATAGCGGAATCACGTCATCTATAAACACATATGTAATACTACATGTTTTTGTATCACTCAATTCTTTTTTCTTTGCAGTATTTGCCGGTGACCGATGACAAATACCTGTGGTGTGTAATCATTCTGCTCTTTCAATTCACTGGATTTGCATTACCTGTACTTGGCATCTGCAAGATGCTCAAAACGATGTATGGCAATAATTATATTTGTCGTAACTTGATACTTTTTTTATAAATTCATCCAGTGAATTCAGTGAAATTCAGTAATCTTTTTCAAGTTTCCAACTTTTGTTAAACTAAATGTTTTTTAGCTTAAAGTAGATTCGTTGCTTTGCGTTTAATTTTTCATATAGCTACAATCAGGTCCTTTCAAAGATTCGGTTTTAGGAGCTCGAATCAATTCATGCCTTTGTTTTTGTTTTTTTTTTTTGTCATATTGTTTGAGAAAAACTTAAATGAAAGGCAAGACTTGAGTGTTTTTAGAATTCAGATACTTCTGATTTCTCATGAATTAATTGGATAGGGATGAAGAACACATTTCTACTTAGCTTTGAGTTTGATTCCTTTTCCACTTCTGTGCACTCAATTCATGTGATTACTGTTATTTCCAATACTCTTAGGTTTGTTGTCTGCATCTATTAAATCATACCAACTATAACAAACTTTCGTTTCTAAAATTCTTACTTTATTATTGTTCTTTTTTTTTGTTCTAGTGAAGTAGTAATGTAATTTTTTAAACATCTGCCCCATCATATATTTTTACGATTTCTCACCGTCTTTATTATAAGAAATACATGGAACAGGATTCGATTGATTGATCAGCCAGCGAAAAAGCAGCTTGCAATCGACTATTTCAGTGCTGTCAAATTTTTATCTTTATTCATAACGCAAAAAAGAGAAAAGTGTATTTTCTTAACTAGTGTAAATTTTCTGAGGAATAGAAGAGCATGCTTAGATGAGTTATTTGCTTGGAGACATGGTCTTACACCTAAATGAATTATTTGATTGGCAGACAAGATTCACACCGAGAACTCTTTATTTCTCTCTTTTCACGTTGTGAAAAGTAAACAAATTTATTTATACATTCAACAATGTGTTTTACGTCCTGTATTTCATTTTCTATGCCTTCATTTATGAGTAATCCTTCAGTCTATTTCCACTACCTTCCTTTGATTTTTTTTGCTATTCTCCTTTCAAGTTCTCCTTTCAAGCGTTTCGCACTTTTACATATTTTATCATCTTTATCTTTTGAAAATTGGGAACATTTCAAATCATTCCATTTCAGGAACAAGTAGAATTGCAACTAATGTTCTATGATCCACGATGCAGAAGTTCTTTGCCGGATAATCATTTTGTAGATTTTTCTAATTATTTCTTTGTAAAGCGATTTGATTGAGGGTGTTGATAATCAGTGAAATGGGTCATTAGCATTTTTCGGAAATTTATAATAAATTTAGTGTTCTAAAAATCAATTCTCTGAGTTTGTATCGTTAGAATACTAGACACTTCTTGGAGAATTATCCCAAACCATCTTGATGAGTATTTAAGTACTCATTTATCTAAAAGTGCAGATAAAATTGCACCCAAACAATTAATCTGAAGTGTGCTGGTAGCTGTAATAGTTATTTTGGCAGAGAAAGATTTTGTCTAGTACTACGACCGAACTGATTTTGAAAAACAACGATAGTTTTTACATTCTATTCAAACTCCGCTTCAATTGTTATTTTACACATATTGTATAGATATTAGAAAAAAAGAAAGGTAAATGTTAATGTGTGGTATTGCTGTTTCATAAATTTAACTACAGAGACCGAATATAAGTTCTTCGAAATAGTAGTAGATTAGCTTGTTAAAATGTCTGCAATTACGAAAACGCATGATCCATTTCAGCGAAATATTATTCTATATCTTGTATTTATCCAATCGTTATGGATTCAGAACCAAATAAAATATGCATATGTACTTAAGTCCGCCCCATCTAGAAAAAAACGGAGTCTCGCTTGCTTGAAATTGTTTACGCTTTGCGTTTCCATTGTGAAATTAAGCATCCCTCCTACTTTATTCCATTCCTGACCATTACTGGGAGCTTTACGATATTTCTTCTTGAAAAATGTTTTCTTCTAATAATAGTGACCGGGAAGATTGCCATGACAATTGCTAAACTGTAATGGACGAAATATCCCTCGTTATTTTTATTAAACCATACTGTTTCAACTGTTTCATTTGAACTACTGCTAAAGAATCGTTGATAAACCATTTCATACGGTTCCTTTCCACTGCAAGTATTAGTCCTTTGAATTGTTGACACTCTCCCAAATTTGCGTTAATAATTATTTGGCTATCTTGGAAGCTCTCAAAAAGCCTTATTTTATTTCAACAATTGTTTGTCATGTTACTATTAAGACTATTTTTGACAATGCAGATAGCGAGTTCTGGTAAGTTTCAAAATTACAAAATAAAATTGTCCCGCTTTGATTGTTTATTTTCTTCTCTCCTATGGAAAAGCATCTTGCCTTTTGAATGATAAGGATATGATAGGACTCTGATTTTCAAAGACTTTTCATCCGCTTCAAGTTGTTTTACACTTCACCGAATGCTACAGATTTTCCTGTTGCGACCTCTTTGAATTATTTGTTCACATTTGGTCTACAGAAATCCCAGTTTTCTTCCTCAATAAATTAGTGACTGAACAATGAAACTTTTTTTCGATCGTGCAGAAAATAAGTCATCATTATTACAGTTATTAGAATTCATACATCTATCTGTACAATAAGCTTCTATGGGAGTACTTCTGCAAAGTTTAAGAGTGGAATATCCATTTCATCATTTTTAAAAATCTTTATTTGCGCAAAAGATTTATGTGGCATCTCTTGTGGCTTCGCAAATAATGCTCATTTTAATCCAAAGATTTGAATTCTATTGTCTTTTTTTCGTCCTATTGAAATTGCGGTTATACTGAAATTAGTATCCAAATGATGTAGCCATAAGGATTTGAAGCTATACATGCAAACATAAGTTACGCACTTATTTATGTCGAATAAAATTTACTTCTCAATCAGAAATATATATGTATGAATGAAATCTGGGTGATTAAAATGGACATTATCATGCCCGAAAGCCACTCGAAATCCATTTGCGAAATTTTCAGCAATGTAAATAATATGTTGCAAAAGAAGGCCGATGATCTTTAAAAGGGAGAAAAGCATGAAGTATTTTGATAAAATAATTTAATTATTCATCTCAACTACTACTTAGCATTGCTAATGTAAATTGAAATCAATCCTTTCTTTGTGAGCTACTTAAATGGATAAATTTAGCTCCTCGTGAATGAGAAATAGAGATTTTAAATTTCTCATCAATTTTTGAATTAAAGTTAGACTTCAGAAAATTATAGAAGTACATTTTTTGAAATATAGAAAAGCTAAATATACATATCACTCATTATCAATATCATTTTCTATTCCATTATATGATCGATAATTTCGATAAAAGCATAAATTTGAATGATTGTGTAAGTTTGTAAATATTTACAAGCATGCTCGTTATGCATATTATTATGCCATATAGTATAATGATGGATAAATATAGCAGGTTTGGATAATAGTAAACTTAATGAAATCTTAACAAGTGCCAATGATGATTCCTCTCAAAATTATTAAGCTCAATAGAAGGCTAATTTTATCAAATTTGACAAATTTCAGCAAATTTTCATTTTTTTTTTTTGAGAAGATAAATTTATTGTGATCACTGCTGAACTCTTCTTTCTAATCACACTTACCTTTCAATATGATATCTGTCAATTCCATTTTGTTGTTGCCACACATTTCTTGTTATATTTTTAGAAGTAAGAAATTTCTTCCACATTTTCTCATAATTTTCATTACATTTAGACTGAATAGATAAAGAATGCAAAAAAATGATTTTATCAACTACTGATTAATCAGTGAATCAATTAATCAAATTATCAATTGCGAAAAAAAAGGTTAGAAAGAAGAAATTAATCAGTCAAAATTATGAATTATTTCGTTTATTGATAATTGTTTATGATTCTTAATGATACCACTGATAAATTCGTGATATGTTGATAATGCAGTAAAACCAAAATGATTACCGCTGATTAATATCATTCAATAAAGTTGTTTTTTTGTTTTTAATTCTTGATAAGTTTAATAAATTTGTTTATTAAGTAATGCTTATGATTTAGGTTAAATTAAGATAGATTAAATTAAACTATTTTATTTTTCATAAATTTTACTCTGTTGTTCAAAAAACTACGGTAACATTAATAACTTTATGTTATTTTAAGCTAGAGCTTTATTGAAATATTTGATAATGATTGATTTGATTATAGGCCTAAAGTTTGATAATGAAAATATATAAGCATGTAGTAGTCTTAAGTCCTAATGCTATATATATTAAAAATCACTGATTGCTAGCGAAGAGATAAAAAATAGAATCAATTTCTTGGCAAGCAATTATAATTATTTAAAATTAAATGGAAAAAATATTTTAAAATTTCAAGATAAAAAAATGTGAAATCTTATTTCAAAAAAAAAATTTCATTCGTTATGAAATAATTGTTTTTATTATTAACTATCATTGTTTACAGCTATCCATCCATCTATCCATCATTGTTTACACCTATCCATCCATCCATCCATCCATCCATATCGCAGTGGTGAAAATTTTTTATCAAAATGAAATACAATTTCACTAATAACTTTTACTCACGAATATCAAATTTCCAATACAACTAATCAAAGAAATCCTTTAATCGATACGATTCATCCCAATATTTATGCAATAAATAAAATTTCCATTTTTGATTCTTCGTACGATAAGAATATATTAGCTTTTGTTGAAAAAATTAAATTTCCATAAACTATTATTTGAAATTATATAATCCTATTGATTTCTGTATTAAATGATTTTTAAAGCTAAAAAGATAGCTTTGGAATATTTCATGAAATAATGAAATGCAATATCATATCACTAAATGAAACTAAGTCCCATTTCTTTTCCATTATTTCTATTAAATTTAATTTCTTTGGAAAAAAGTTATATAAATTTCTCTATGAAAAATTTTAAAGCTTCAAAATGTTTGCTAAAAGTCTTTCGTTGTTTTTTTTAATTCTCTTAAAAATAAGAAACTGACAGTCTGAAATGCATAAAATAGATTTGTTACTTCAAATGGATAAACAAAATAAAGTTAAAGATATCTCGAAAGAAGTTTTAAAGAAAATCTGCAACTTCAAAATGATTAAATTGAGAAAATTAGTATTGCTAAAATTGAGAGCAAGATAAAAAGTTTTTAATCAGTAAAATGATAAAATCATCTGTAATCTCAAATTGCTAAAAAGAAAAAACAATATCATATGTATCGGTTGCTTAATTTCTAATTGCTAATTATTAAAGTTAATATTTTTTTAAAAGTTATTTATCTTGAAGTATCTATCTTACAGAAAAAAGTGGGATAATTAGATAAGGTAAACCAATTGATTGATCATTTATCATTAACCGTTATTATCACTGCTATCATTGATCATTTATCACTAACTGTTATTATCACTGCCACGAGCAAAAATAATGATTATTACTATACTTTGTTACTATTGCGCTAAAAATTAATGTAATTCCAATTTTGATTATCAATAATTTCAAATATCTGATATGGACCACACGCAGTGAATCATTTTTCAAGGTGTCATTTAATTTTGATTGTCTTAATAAATTAAAAAGCTATGAAAAATATTGAATTTAACGGATAAAATAAAAAGTTTGATAAATAATGAAAGTTCGCAAATAAGCATGTGACAAATGAGTGACGCAAAAATAAACTTGTTATCGTTAGAAGAGATGCTTCAATTTTTACATTAATAGAACTTCACAGCAAAATATTAAATTCACTCTGAATCACACATAATTATCACCATCATCATCAGACATGAAATATTTTCTAACAAAATGTAATTTAATTTTCATTAATTAAATTATGAAATTTCTTAACTAAATAGGATGAAATAATTGTATCTAAAAAAGAACGACTGATAATTGATAACAAATTTATATCAATTTTTGATCATTCCATTAAGAGTTTACTTTTGAAAGCATAAAGACTTAGAGAAAGGAAGTAATATAATTTCAGATATTTGAATTTGAATTCAGATACTTTTTGTAATCAAATTCTTTTATGTAAATGGAAACCTAATAGTGATTCAATTTGCTTTAGCTTAATTTATTTCTATTCCTTTTTTTCAACAGATGGGAAAGCTTAGACCCATTTAAAAGCATTTTATAATTTTTGCATTAGGAATTGGCCAACAAAGAAATTAACTTTAAAGAGCAATTTACAAATTGTCAAATTGGATGGATCGTTGATGAAAAAGAATGTAAAAGCCTATCTTCATGTGCTCTTCTATAATTTCAATAATTCTTATCGATCATTTAAGAGAGGATAAAATTTCTAATCATGAAAAAGAAGTTATATGCAACAGCTAAAGCTATTTAAAATTTTTTAAAAACACTTTATAGCAGTGATTCAAAAAGTTTCATTGTAGCATGCGGTAGACAATCGATACCGACATTTGTTGAACCTGTAATGGAGAATGTTACCGCTATCAAAGGTCAGGATATCGAATTCAAATGTGAAATATCAAAACTTGGCAAACATATGGTATCATTTTTGAAACTTTTGGTGCAGAAATAAAATGAAAAAAATAGGAAGTTGAAATATGATTTCATAGATTTGCAAAAATTTAGTGAATTTTGCAAAAACTTAAAATTTCCGAATTATGTTTTAAAAAAAGGAATAGAGGCTTTTGTTTCTATTTTCATAATGTAATTGTTGGAAGGATTAATAACTAATCTTTCCGGAATTAGCAAATCTATCACAAGACATATGGTGTTTAGATTACACTGCTATTATTGATATCCGTAAGGATATCCAATAATGCGCAATATCACTGAAATGAATTATTACTTGAATAGCCTGATCAATCAATTTGTCAAAACTAGATCTTTGAAATTTCATTTATTAGTTAGCTGGTGAAAATTTTTTAAAGGTCTTAGATGAATTTTGCTTTTTTTACAGGTAGCATTCGTTCGAGCAGATACGCCACCAAGATTGATCGCTTTTGATGAAAATGTTTTCTTTAATTTTTATTTTTCACAATTCATAACATTCTATTGAAATTTTAAAGATTATATGGTATTTTAATTTATTATCAAAAATATGGATTAGAAGTAAAACAATTCCAATTTAAGTTTAAATTTTTCAAACTATATTTAAGGTATTTCGACAACGACACAAATATGAAATTAGACGATCAATGAAGAACAATGAATGGATTTTAGTCATCAAGAATGTTCAAGTTGGATTTAATAAAAGACTTCAAATTTAACTATATCTTTGATTCAAACAAATTCAAACAAAGCATCTATTTTAGGAAAATGATATCGGTGGTTACTCATGCCAACTGAACACCAATCCAGTACTTTCAAAAACTGGTTACCTTCGTCTCAAAGGTAAGTGTTTAACCGAACAAGAGAGACTAGTAGTTATTACATTGATATTATTGCATATAGCATCATGAATGGTAATGTAACTAATGATGCTGCCGGATGCGTAATGAGTTTTGATAGGATGGAGATTAAGTTTTAAGTGAAGAAAGAGTGAACGAGGTTATCAACCTTCTTGGTGACCTCGCACTCCCTCCTTTGATGATTTTATGGACCAGTCTTGAAATGAAGACATTAGCATAACCTTTTTCCTTCCATGAAAATCTCTCCTTGAAAGCTTAACAATCCATTAACCAACCATTTAAAGCTTATTAATTCATCTTCCTAATAGTTATTGCTTTTGATTATTATCATCTAAACCTTATTGCTACAAATGAAGTCCTATTTCTTCTGGCCAACTATGGGAACTATTCAGGATTAAATCCATCTTCTCTCTTTTCCGCTTTTCCGGACAATTTGAAGGGTTATTTTGTCCAATAATAAAAAATTTATGTTCACGGGGGTCTTTGCGCTCTGTACTTTCAAAAGATGAAAATTCTCTAAAATAGTATGCTAAAAACTGTGCCGCTCTGAAGTAGTAAATTGGATTGAATTTTCAATAAAGGCCAAAGGTCATGCAGTACAAATAAGATATTAAAGAATTTGCTGACAACATTAATTATTAGTTTTTTTGTTACAGCAATCTTCCGTTAATTGGTCCCTCTTGTCTATTTATTCATTTTCATAGCTTTAATACTTATTCAAAGTTAATTAGCATTAATTAATAAGAAGAAAAATACAATAAGTCTATTAAATCAATGTTACTTTTTCGATTGAAATTTTAGAAATTCTTTTGAAAAGTACAGAATTTAATATTTTTTTTATAAAAAAATTAAATTAAAGCATTGCTTAAACAGTTAAGAATTTGTGAAGGGTCAAAGATCATCGGTATAATAAAATAAAAGAAATAAATGAGCCTACTCTTTAGTTTCTGACCTTTCTTTTTGTTTCAGTAGGTGTTCATTTATCTTTTCTTCTTTCTTCTGTTGACCAATACATAGTTATTTAATGTTAGAACAGGTGAACTAATAAAGAGAGTGATAGGAGATTTCCACGTACCACCTGCTGCTAGGAGAAAGTTGATATTGAGTTAATTAAATAGTGAAAATATAGTAGAAAGCTTAAATGACTTGTTAATGATGGTAATAATTTTTGGGAAAAGCCACATATAAGACTAAATTATTCATTAATTCTCATTATCATTTAAAAATTCAAATTCATTGAAAATTAATTTAGTTCAGATTAGCTTGCATATATATAACTAAAAGGGATCATTTCTAATTGACATTTATATTCTAGAAAAATTCTCTCAAATATATCCAAATTTCACTTTCTGTAAACAGATAACCAAAATAGGCATAAATTTTATAATTAAAAAAATTTAAAAATAAATGACAAATTATGGTTGTATAAATGCGCTTTGTTTATCACTCATAAGTATAGCCTAAATAATAATATTCTTAACTCTTTGATTCTGATCAAATGACCAATCAGATATGTTGACCAGAATGTATATTAATTGATATCTCTAAAGAAAGAAAGACATTCTAAAAGGTAATACAATCACTTTATCTAATTCATTTATTTGTTGAAAGAGAAATGTTTAGTACCACCATATGTGGCTCGAACAACAGCAGCAGTTGTAGAGGTACGTGAAGGACAAAATGTTACATTGTCATGTCGAGCATTTGGTGATCCACCACCAACAATTGTTTGGCGAAGGCAAGATCGACAAATTATTCGTTTTAATAGCGCAACTGGCTATGGAGGTTAAATGGAAATTATTATTATTATTATTGTTGAAAACTAATGAAGATTCTATTGGCTTAATTGTAAATAGTCTAATTCTTATATTCTGCTTTAGATAAATTAGCTCAATTAAGTGAAATATTGAAAGTTACTGCATGTTATTGTTATAATCTCAAAGTTCAAACAACAAAGTTTAATAATTTCAGCAAGCGTGTTCAATGGTTCCGATATGACAATCATTAAAGTAAATCGCAAACATATGAGCGAATATATTTGTGTTGCAAGTAATGGTGTACCACCGGATGAGTCATGGAGTGTGAAATTACATGTTACCTGTAAGTTATCGTGCAAATTATCATAAGCCTATGCAAAAGAATGAACAGATATTTTTTGATTGTTTTAATTTTGGATATCTGATTGCTTAAGAATAATATGTTTATAATTAATTATCTGTTAGGATAAAAATAAATCAAATTGAAAAGTATAATGATAAAATAATATTGGCGCTTTTGGCTTTTTCTACTATCATAACGCTGACAAAATTTTATTTATGAAAATCTTCGAAAACTTTTGCTTTAAAATGAATGTTTCAGTTAAGCCAATAGTGGTACCACAAGCTGAAATTGTCCAGGTAGCACTTGGTGGTCAGGTTAGTTTAATTTGCAATGCAGAAGCTTGGCCAAGGCCTTCGGTGAAATGGGGAAAAGATGGACAAGAAATATTTGACTCTTCAACATTTTCACTTGTAAGTTAAATTGTTTAAATCCTTTTTTATTTCAGATTCTCCTATTTAGGGACAATCCATTTCTTCAAAATTTGCTAATTAGGTAATAAGCTGATGTAAAAATTCATTACATGCATGACAATAAATAATGTAAGCAAAGAAGTTAAAATTAAAATTGTTTGAGACAATCATAAATATTCAAATTTTTAAAGTAATTTTTTTAGTCAAATCAATTAGCAGAAAAATATCGCAGCATACATACATTGACAATCAAAAATATTAGTAAAAATGAATTTGGTACTTATCGATGTATTGCGATAAATGACAACGGTGAACACTTCGCTGATATTGTTGTGAAAGGTGAAAATTTATGAATTTAAAAATTTAATTTTTTGAAGTTGAACTTAACACACTTATTGAAACAAGAACTTGTAAAGTTATTCTCAATACGGAGATTAAATAAATATGAAAAATAAAGTTTAAATTATCATTTATGTTTTGTTTGCTTTATTTCTTTGACACTTATCATCTGAGAAAAAGGATTGAATAGAATTTAAATTTGAATTAATTTGATTTCTAAATTTGATTTCTAAAAATTTGAATAAATTTAATTCCTAAATTTAATTTTTCCAACTTCAGATTTGCAATTATACTGGAGAATTTGTTACATTTTATTATATCTTCTTTTGAAATTTTTTATTTTGTAGTTTATAATGAAATAATTTCTTACTTTTCAGAAGGGAACTTAGTATACAATAAATTTGCAGCAATGTTCACTGAAGGTTTGTCTTTAATTGTTGAAATTTTGAATATTCTAAAAGCATTCTTTCGAATTGATTCTTTCGGTGATAGCATTTAATGATAACATTCTGATATCATTCAGCATAGTGAACAATATAAAATAATTGTAATGCCATTGATAAGTTTTATGATTTTAGTTATTTTTATTGAGAAATTCTTTCAGAAGAAAATAAGAGACTTAAAACAGAGGCAAAAAAATGAACAGTAGAGAGTTAATCAGAGAGAAAGTAATAGAGATGATCATTTCTGAAAAATTATCAATTTGGAACAATTCAAATTTTCTTTGTAACTTTAAATACATTAACAACTGATCTTTTTGTATGTTTACTTTTTACTTTAATTTTTGATGCAAACATTATGTATGAAACTGTCAGTTATCTTCGTTTCAATAACTTCAAGCAAAACATTTGAAAATAATTTATTATTCATCGAGAAGAAATCCCTACAAAATTGACCCCATTTTATGTTATAAATAGAGAGCTCTGAAATAAGTTTAAATGATTGTACTATAAGGATGACCTTCATTATATTAAAATGATGACACACAATGATGATGATGGGATAATTTTCCAATATCATTAATTATTGTAAATTTTAAAATCAATTTTCACCTGCACATCGTGATTTTTCCTCCCCTTGTATTATAACATCCTTTTTATACTAAATACGTCATTGATGCCGTTGTTGCGACATCAATATTCCCATTGTTTCCAGGTTCCGGATATCTGGATGACGGTGGTGATGATGATGATGATAATAATGATAATGATAATGGCAATGAAAACAATATTAATAATGGTGGTTACAATGATATTATATCTTCTTATAAGTCACAAAATTCATCTGATTCTACAAAAAAATCTTCTGAAACATATCAAGTTCAATTGAACTCAGGAAGATTACTTTCGACACATTCTTCTCAACTATTACCTTCTCGAGATATCAACTATGCCTACAGACAAGAATTACGTCGAAAAGGTGTGCATGTTGATAATGATGGTAATTATAACCATCGTAATAGTGATAATCATCGTGCACTATTTTTGTTCCTCATAGCATGCTTCATATTATAAGTGATTAGATTGTTATACTTGCTGTTAATTATTGATGGGTAGGATTGGTATATGAGTTCAAAAGAAAAAATTTCATAATTTGGTCATTTCTGATTATCTCTTTTATTTGTCGTTACCGCTTAATATCCTTATCCCTTTCTCTACTAAATTTTGAAGGAGGAATAGTTTATTCATTTAGTACAGAATATATTCTGTTACGACATAAATGAGTATCCATCTGTAATGCGATCCTATATCTCAAAAAAAGTTCACATTTTCAACTTCAAAACCATTTCAAGTAATACACTCACTTAATGAGCTACAAGATGTATGCCTTGTTTAATTCCGGAATTTTAACGGAAAGAAGCAAATATCTGCCTTATCGCATTTCGACACTATATAACTTAAAATTAATTGAGATTCTACATAAAATTAAATTAATTATAATTAAAATTAATTAAGATTCTACATATCTAGTGATGCCAGCAAAAAATCTGATAATATTTTAAAATTTTTAAAATTTCTATTTACACCGATCCGTTGGGGGGAAATGTGCTATTGCGATAAAATTGTCATGAAAATCAATTTCATCCTAAACAAATTCCTTTTTATAATTAGATTTTATCAATCTTCGTTCATTGTCAATTTACAAATTGGAAGCAAACTAGTACTGATAACAACTGATAACGCATTATATCATCTACGATAAAACAAACAACTGAAATTTAATTTTTTAGTTTATCGAATGACTCAAAAAAAAAAATCAATAAAACAGGTTTGTAAGAATGTTTTGGCTAAATAAAAGCTGAAAATTAAGGCCTTTCCGAATGATTTACACTTACAGGATCTTAAGTTTATCTTTTTTATTCACAAAATAATTTTGGTAATTTTTTTAAACAGCCAGATTTTCTAGAATTAAAAAAAGCTTAACCTATGATTTCGCTGATCAAATTTGATTAAATCTACATAGATTTAGCAGTTATCATGAAATCAAATTTTTAACAATTATTATCAATTTCAGATATTGTAAGAGAACAAACTTCAGCAGCTGGTAAGTAATTACATCTTCGTACATTCTTTTTCCTGTTATATCAAGGAGTCTCATAATCACTGCTACCTTTCTTTTATCCAACATCCATTGGAATCTTATGCCGTTCCTCAATTAACACAACATGACCTATGTGGATTTAATTTTCTTTAAAAGAATTTTCTTTTGAAAAAAAATGATGACTCATATTTTTTTTAAATGAAATTGTTTTAAAAAATTTAACGAAATTTTTTTAGGAGAAAATTGGAGACGAAATATGCAATGGAAACTGTATTGCGTTGCTCAACTTCCCTACTATTTCTTAAGTTTATACTTCTTGTTTCTGTTGTAAAACTATAAAGCGAGAATTTCTCTTTTAAAAGAATTTTCATTGTACCATAATATTACCTAAGAATCTTACGGAAGGATTCAAAAATCTTTTGAGATGCCAAATCTACATATATTTTTTCTGATACTTTAATGATCTCAAGTTTGTGATAATAAATAGCTTTCTTCTTCTTCTTGATTTTATTTCATTGCAAATAAAACAATTAAATATGCAGGGTAATTTAACTTTAAACAAGTAAGTTATAGGCATTCAAGAAAAATACGCACAATTTCATTTCAGTCGATGATTTAATCAATTTGTGAATATCAGTTAAACTGAGCTAAGCTTATTTTTAGCACTGATTTCACTAATTTGATAAATATTGATCCGACTGACCTTAATTACAGTAAAAAAAAACCTCAAAAGCCCATAAGCTTTCTGCTGAATTTTAACAAATCAATAAGAATTTCTAAAATTTAAGCTCTCATTTAAAAGCTTTCAATGTAAAGTTTGGCTATTAGCGAAAAAGAAAAATGGTAGAATTGAAACATTCTTGAATGGAAATTCTGAATGATACCTATAAAGAAATTTCCGGAAGAGTACTTTCAGGAAATTAGACCCCCCAATTATTACCTGATTAATGAATACTGATATTTTTGCTGAGCACAATCATTCTCTACTCATTTTGATAAAAAGTATCATTCACTGGAATTCACTTAAGATTCTGAGTTAAAATTCAGCACTTAACAATCAGAATTCCTGTTTTGAACTTACAAATCAGTAGAGTGTTTTTCTAACAAGAAACCATAAATTGAGCTAATAAGGGAAGAAGAGATAAAATGAGAACCATCAATGCTGCACGGCCCATCAAATGTTCTGGGCCAACGTTTTGGCATTTAACTGCTCGGCCACAAACTTAAAGTGAAGTTCTCATTTTAAAAACACTTGGTTGATTAGACTTTGATTAGATTCACTTATATCTCCCAACTTGGGTAAATAAAATATTTGATAAAAGTAGCCAGTGGACACTTCCGGTGAAGCGTTTAAAATTTTAACAAAAAAAGCTCATAACGATGTGATAGTATTGCCAAAATACAACGGTCCATTTAAAAGTTCCAAACCAAAGAAATAAATGTTATCGGCTAATATTCGATACAAAGTGAATAAATCGGAAATGAATAGCAAATCCTATCTCATATCGTTGGAAAAGATCATCTGTACGGCTTGACCTATCAACAATGAAAAAAGATGAAAACATTCAAGTAGTACATACTTTGAACACGTTATGAGCTTTTTCGACAGCTGTTTTGCTTGGTTCGAGTTGCTTGTACGAAAAATATGATATATTGATTGAATGACGTATGTTCTCGGTTCATTTATTTGTTTCGTATTCTGCATTAATTTGTTTATTTCACATTGTCAGTAAAGAAGTGAAGTGAGTTATGTCTCGGTCGCTTTCACATATTTCACATGTGAATTTAATCGAAGAGCTGCTATTGTTGCTACTCTTCCTGTTTTCGTTGTTGTTAAACTGAATTGTTAAGAGATTTGTGCAGATGACGATAAATTTTTGGCTTTGGAACTGGGTGATTTATAATTTGTGGGCAAATTATTATAGGTCAAGTTGATATCATAAATTCAATGATGAATCGAAATCCTGGTTTTTTTCGTCAAATTTCATGCTTGCAATCATTTCTTATTGCATAAAATTTGTTATTGAAATGATATCTTCTTTGTTTTGCTATTGTCTGTTTTTAATTTTGAAATCTCAGAATCAGAAATGATGTTGCGTGAGGTGGAATTTAATATTTTAAATGCACATCATAATGGACGACGTTTACTACACTTATACGCGAAACTTGGTGCAAGAGTACGAATGAACAATATCGAAAAAGAGCCCTTATTACCTTATGGAAAATTGGAAAGAAATGTAAATATTGTACGACAAAGGTAAGTTCTTTTGAAGAATTATGTGAATTTTTTGCAATATGAAGAAGGAAAAATAGAAAGACGAGAAAAGTCTTTCTCAATGTCATTCTTTAAATTATAGGCTAAAAAGACCACTTACATTATCCGAGAAGATATTATATGGACACTTGGATGAACCAGATAAACAGGAGATTGAGCGAGGTTCTTCATATTTGCGACTGAGGCCAGATCGAGTGGCAATGCAGGATGCCACTGCACAGGTTTTTGTTTGTTATCACAAAAGTCTCAGAAGTTTGACTTGCTACAAAAATGGATTGCACTATGTTCATGAATGATTAGACGAAACAAAATGATATTATTTTTCGGTGCACGAAGGTTAAAATTTATCACTGCATTTGTTTTAATTTCAGATGGCCATGCTACAGTTTATCTCCTCAGGACTTCCACAGGTTGCAGTACCATCGACCATCCATTGCGATCATTTGATTCAAGCACAGTTAGGAGGAGCCGCCGATTTGAAACGAGCTAATGATCTCAATAAGGAGGTCTTTCATTTAAAATTTTCTTTTTTTCGGAAGTATCCTTCCTTTATCTTTTATGAAAAATAATCTTTATCAAGAGAGGAACATTATATCTAAAGTTCATTTTTTTTGAAGTAACGCAATACGTTTTATTTAGGTTTATGACTTTTTATCCTCAGCGAGCAATAAATACGGTGTTGGTTTCTGGAAACCAGGAAGTGGCATTATTCATCAGATTATCTTGGAAAACTATGCTTTTCCTGGACTGTTACTGATTGGTACTGACAGTCACACGCCAATGGGAGGTATACGTATTTTGGTTTTCTTTACAGTTCTTACAATTTCATAGCTTTAATTTTTGATCTTTTCTTTTTGATATTTCTCTTCTTCAGGAAGAAAAAAAGATTACGTATGGAAAATGTTTTTATGTAATTGAAATGCCATGAAAATAATAATTAAGTTAATAAATTTTGTGCGCAATTTGTTTACATCATCTATGAATTTTAATTTCGTTAGGAAACCAGGCTCCAATTTCTGATCACTGCATAATATTTTGTTCTTTTTTCATTGTTTTGTAACTTTGAAAGAAATAGGTGGGTTTTGTGCAATAAATTATTAATAACTTTGAGACTTGTTAGTTCCAAAGTATGTATGGAAACATATTTTCAGGTGGTTTGGGAGGTTTATGCATTGGTGTTGGTGGTGCGGATGCCGTTGATGTTATGGCAGATATTCCATGGGAGTTGAAATGTCCCCAAGTAACTATTAAATCTTCTGAAATTAAAGAAATTGTGTTCTTTACAGCTTTGTTAATATCTAATTGCTAACTTTCCGGTGTTCCAATAGTTTTAAAAAATCAACCTTTTAGGTGATTGGTGTGAAATTGACAGGTGAACTCTCAGGGTGGACATCCAGTAAGGATGTTATTTTAAAGGTAGCAGATATACTTACCGTAAAGGGTGGCACAGGCTGTATTGTCGAGTATTTCGGTATGATTTTTACCACTGTCATATATTCGGAAGGAGAACCAATAATTTCGGTATTGCATCTTTACACAGAGAAATGATTTATTTCATTATTTTGTGTACATCAGAGGTAGAATTTGAATGAAATCAAATGAATGGCTTTAGGTCCTGGCGTTGATTCAATATCAGCAACGGGTATGAGTACTATTTGTAATATGGGTGCAGAAATTGGTGCGACAACATCGGTGTTT